ACTGAGATTAGCCTGCAGGTACTTCGTTTTTGCTTGAAAGAAGGTCTGGTTGAAGATCCCTTGGAGCCTGCGGTGATACAGTGTCTTCCTTAGTAACACTTGTGCATCCTGAATAGGGGTTGGAGACGAGACCTTCAACAGCAGGGAAATCTATTTGCTCTGCTGCCCTTAGTCACCAAGGCCACCAAGGTCTGAAGGAGCATAGAAGTCCTGTAATGTGCAGTGCTGCTACAGAAACCTCAAACACTGACATTTGTGGAACCTTTGGTACAGTTTTAGGAATGACTTGTTTTTCATACATTGTCTGATTGTTCAATTTTTTTATCGTATGTTAAAGATTCCCATCAGACACATTTTAAGTAAAAGTAAAAGAAAAAAGAAAAAACTGATGAGTAAATTGCTGAAGAAGGTTAAAAAGAATGTGTCCGTTTTAGCTCCTTGATTAAAAACTGCAGCTAAATATGTACAAATCAGGGCACCTCAGTCCTTGAACAACCACTACTGGTTCAGCTAATTTTCATTTTGGACATGCCCAGCACAGCCACGCAGTGTGGGGTGAGTTAAAAACACTGTGTCACATATAAATACTGTTACCTAAAATTCTGCAGTGATTCACAAATGCCAAATTTTTGTAAGATCGTAATTGCAGGAGAAAAAAAGTTAATCACCTTGTAGTTTCTCTATAAAACAAACCCCTAATGCTTAATTAGTATTATTTAAGTATTTTGTGAATTCTTCATTCTCCATCGCACTTCACAAACCTGTAGTGGCAGTAATGGGGTGAAGAAAACAACACAAACTAGACACTAGACAACAGACACTGCTGGGGACATGCAGATCATGGGCTGTATTTGTTAATGGACTATCAGAATTGCGAGATTGCCAAAGACACCCAGCGCTTTGAATCACACGTACTGTATTATTTAAAAGAAATTGTGTTCATTCCTAATCATTTGTATACACAAATGATCCAGAAGTGTGTCTGATTTTTGCTTCTGCTGAGCTAGCCGAGCACTTTTGTCACCTAATCGGACCACATGAGCAAAGATGCTTGGTTTACACTTAGAGACAATCAAAGAATTATAACAATAATATGGTTAAAAGGTTTCATATTATTATCTAGCACAATCAACACACAGATTCCAACTTTGACAATTAGCTAGCGATGGGGCTACTAGCAAGGATCGCTAATGCTACGAGGACCTACGAAGGGAATGTGTTTCAAGGAGAACGCTTTACTTCAGGACTATTTTTATTAAAATAAATACTTGAATATTGAATACTGTTTACAGTTCTGATTGCTGAATGAATGGTAGGAATGGTAGACTCTGTAGTCTTTATAAATTTCTTAAATGTCTGACCACCTGGTTTCTCATTTAACAGGAAGAAGCTAAACCCTAGTAATAAATCAGCTTCACATTTAACAGTTTAACCACACAAAACAAAGTTGTATGGAAAGAATATCATGTGGAAGTGTGACTTTACAAATCACAGTCATGTATTTACAGTTTAGAGAAATGTGATTACGGCCTCCTTGTAAAAATCCATAGATTAAGTAAAAGCGAACACAAAGAAAACAAAATGCAAGGGTGTTTATATTCAGTATGTAACATAAAGCTGGTAAAATCTATGTTTCTATCATGAATTAACACTAAAGGATGAAGTTGAAGTCAGGCTGTAGTGTTTGCCCGTTAACAGAGACGTTCTAACATGATGCTAACGTGATCTCTTGTACAATGAACTCCTTTGAGGAGCCAAAGGACTCTGAGGACAGATTTCCTTTGTTTTGGCCCCAGAATATCAGCATAGAAATGAGCTGTGATATTTGTGTAGTAGAGCCACTCGTGAATAATCTCAACATTGTAGGTAGCTCAGATATACTGTCATTAGCTGTCAGAGGTCAGAATGCAAGCGGACGTTTAGATTTGAGCAAGAGCTGTAGCCACAGTCGTTACCGAGCTTACTCTGAGGTTACAAGAGTGAAAGTAAAGGTGAATTTTAGTTTAATTTGCAGTGACTGGCCTCAGTATAGCTCATGTAGAGTCTGGTTATACCACTGGTTCCTCAAATCTTGAAAGTATAATGTGACTCTGTTGCCTTGAATGCATGTCGCATCTGACGGGGTTCAGTTGGAAGTCATGAGTAAGACGCTCTTTTTGGCTTTACAAGGAAAACTCACCACATACTTTTGCCATCTGTGCCATGTGAAATGGACACTGAAGCATGATGAACATGCCCTGCTATCAAAGACAAAGTGTCTGATGTTTGTATGTGATAACTGTTGTCATTGTATCTGCTGTAACAGAGCCGAGGGGGAAGACTTTGTCAGTAAAAGAGCATTTTTAAGTAATTGTCCCAACAGTTTTTTTCATTTTAAAATTAAGGTCTTTATTTGATACCAGTGCCAAAATGGTTTTCGCACAGTAATTACATCCATGCTCGAAAGTTTTTAAAGCATGAATTTGCCAATATGGTGAAGACAGTGAACTATTTAATTCATTTTTAAAATAATATTAATATACAACCACTTACAAAAGGAGTCAAATCTCACAAACAACACAGATAATGATGTCATGTTATCCATAGAGTTATTCCATTAGACATTTAAAATAATTGCTTTACAAAGAAGAGGAAGCAAACAATGAAGAAAACAACCAATAAGGAAAAGAGGACGTGAAAATGAAAAATTATGCTCCATTTTTAAGAACAGCTTTTATTTTTAATATAGAGAAATTTTTATGTAACACATTCATTTACAGTTATGTATAACATTTAATTATATAACATGTCAACTACTACTTATAAAAATATTAATTACCAACAACATTATTACCATATGCTGTGTAGGAGACAACTGGCACCAAATTGAAATGAACTATTAGAAAAAATGTAAAATTTTTGTGTGACATATAGATGTTGTCTCAGAACAAAAGCAGATAATCATTAATATTATACTGTTAGGAGCAGTTTTGGCTTACAGGAGCAGATTTAGATATGTTCAACCTTGGTTCAGTTCAATATGAACATCGGACACAAGAAGCCTGTTTCCTTTAACACTGGGATTCTTATAAATGGCAACTATTTTTTTCTGTCAATGCCTAAACTTCAAGATAACCTTAGATTACAATATAGCTAGTTTTGGTTCATTTTTTATGTTCATCTCTGCAATAGATTTATATAATATAATATAATATAAAAATGTATTTATCACGGTGGCACGGTGGTTAGCACTGTTGCCGCACAGCAAGAAGGTCCTGAGTTCAATTCCACCATCGGGCCGGGGTCTTTCTGTGTGGAGTTTGCATGTTCTCCCCATGTTTGCGTGGGTTCTCTCTGGGTACTCCGGCTTCCTCCCACCGTCCAAAGACATGCAACTTGTGGGGATAGGTTAATTGGATAATCCAAATTGTCACTAGGTGTGAATGTGAGTGCGAATGGTTGTCTGTCCCTGTGTGTTAGCCCTGCGACAGACTGGCGACCTGTCCAGGGTGTACCCCGCCTCTCACCCTATGACAGCTGGGATAGGCTCCAGCGCCCCCCGCGACCCTGAAAAAGGATAAGCGAATGGATGGATGGATAATAAAATATAATAACCACAACACAACCAAAGCTAAGACTCTGCTTTAAATCGAGGCTTTAAACAAAAACACTGGATTGCAGTTGTTACATTTTTTCAGCAGACGTTCCTCTTTTCATATGGTATAGGTATAGGTTGATCTTCTATAAGATCAACCTCTGGTATGGGCTGATCTTGTGGTGAACTCTCTCTGCTTGCTCTCCTAAAGTCTTCTTTTTATGGTACACTTGGAAAAATTTGATGTCTCTCTCCTGGTAAGTATTCTTAAGTTAGCTGAATGTACATGGATTACATGACATACCCACTTTAGTATGTTTTAGGGCGCCAAGGGACAAAACACTTTTAGGCCTAATTAATATCACCTGTTAGGACACTTTGAAACTTTGCTGTGCATAAGTAGAATGTAAACGGTATAAGTAGCAATGTGACTGTAGTTTCTAACAGTGTCAAAACATACTTTGTGTTTTTGCAGATTTGGAACTTTCTTCATCGCCAAAGCCTTTAGGGAACCAGCTACTTCTTTTTAGTTTCTAAATGCAAGGGTTTCTATATAAATGCAGACTTTTGGAAGGAGTGTATAAAAAGCACTTAATATCTGGGAAAATGTCCCCATGCTCTTGGACATTTTGACAGCAGGACAGCCCTGAGGTCTAAGGGTCTTGTGAGCTTAAAGCTTAGTTGATGGAATAAGCTCAAAATCTTTAAGTTTGTGAGTGCTAAGGTTGTGATTGAGTCATAGACCTTGTTTTTACCTCAGAAAGTATGAGCCACGTTGCAGCATGTGCCAGCTTTGTAAAGCTGTTACAGATATCTGAATGTAGTGAAGTAGATTCTGGGGTTGGATTTTACATGATGTCCTAACCTAAGTCACACTTCATCGTGTTGACACAAAAGCCCGGGCGGTGTAATAATCTTGAACTTGCATTAGTTGCAATCAAATGTCCAGTTAGTGGACTTGTGGCTATGTAAACTTTTACCTTTGCCTTTACCTTTGAGACAGACAGGGTTTCCTTTCCTCCAAAAACACCCAAGGTTGGGAAGATGGTATGAGCGATGTACCAGATTTCATGATGTCATCAGAGATCCCCAGTTATCGTTAGTCGTGGCAGGTGGCTGCCCCTCCCAGATCCTGGTTCTATGGGAGGTTTCTTCCTGTTAAAGGGGAGATTTTCTTCCCACTGTCACAGAGTGTTGCTTATAGGGGTTTTCTAATTGTTGTTTTTTTCTCTGTATTATTGTGAGGTCTTAACCTTACAACATAAAGTGTCTTGAGGAAACTGTTGTGATTTGCTGAATGTGAAAAACATGCTGAAAATGTAGGCCAGCTTGTCATTTTCAGCTGCCCGGACACAGTGATGAATTGGGTCTGTAATCATTTCTGACCATGCATTCCTTTTGAAAAACTCTTAAAAGACACACTGAACATATTGAACTCTCTTTATTCAGCATTTATGGCAGTCCTGTTGTTATACAAATAGTTTACAGTAAAAGACTAGCCATTTAAAAAAGGGTTAAAGTGCAGATTTATTAGTGTTCTATTAAAAATAAAAGCAAATGGGCCTTGCACAGTTTATGATTTAAATGCATTTAAACAGTTCAAAGGAACAATAAAGGTTTAGCATCTCCACCCACTGCAGACTCAGTGTGCCTGACTTCCTCATGTTTCACTAACATTGCACAAAAGATCTTCATAAAATTAAATATGTTGTCATAGAATTAATTATAACGTGATGATTTTTTTTTATTATAACCCACAAGCGTCCCCAAAATAACCACGCTGGAATGTTTCACCAGCCACAGTGCTGATCACTAAAGCTTTTCTTATTAATTTTCTTATTGTACTACACAAATAGCTGCAAGAAGGAAACATAAACAGACACAGACAGAAGAAAAAGTTAAAAGTAGTTAACAGTGTTGAAAGAAAGAATATGTGAATTAACAATAGCCAGTGTGCTGTTAAATCCACACAAGCTGGCTTTGCTCAGTGGTTGCTACAATGGCGCTTGCTGCCAATAAAAGCCCTCATTACTGTGTTTTACCCATTCATTGTGGGAAAATACCTCAGTGTATTAACAAGAGCTGCTTTCATTACATCACACATGGCTCTGGTTAACAGATGAGTGAGATTCCAAGAAGATATGTCAAAAAATATATATCTGTCAATTTATTTAGCTCAAGAGAATAATATGTGCGATGATGGCTGATTATTTCTAAACAGTTAGCTATTAAAATGTACATTTCTGAGAGCTGCCTAAACAAAGTCTTCCTTCAATGAACAAAATTAGTGGAATCTAAATAACAACTCTTTGTGTCCCTTTGTTGCTAGGCTACATCGGGTTTCAGTAATGACGATCTGGTGGTTGTTAAACAAAAGCAGGGTTTTCTCCACCAGTCTCCCCCTGCTGGTAACATAGCTTCATCTGAGTGAGAATCAAGGGGAAAAAAAGTTGTTAGGTTCCCGCTCAGTCCAAACTGAGAAGTCCATCAAGCATGCACAACAAAGGGGAGCTTCTACGCTGGCTGCATGTCCATTTCTACACGTCTGCTTTAGATTATTGGCACTGACAGACCTCTGTGGGAGAAATCTGGGATAAGAAAGAGTAAAAAGACTTCATGTGTCTCCGAACATGCCTGTTCTTCAGTAGGAGCACCACAACGCCCAGAAAAAATGGAAGCGGAAGTACGTAGCTTACTGCCATGGCCTCTGTGGTGTTGGATTGGGGTTGGGATAGATGGGCGCCGGTGTTGGGTGGTGGTAGTTTGGCACTACATTGGGTTTTGGAGGATATGTTGGGGTGGGGTACTGTGGCATGCCGTGTGGCTGGCTGTGGGGGATGGTGTGGGCGGGAGAGGAAGCGGCAGAAGAGGAGTCAGGGAGGTGAAGGTAGAGAGGAGCCGAGGGAGCAGTCGGAGCGGACGGTGCAGTCGGCGTTGGGACCCTCTGCAGGACAACATGTGGGTAAAGCTGAGACTCGGAGCGGTAGAGCCCGGGCATGGAGGCCTTCAGCAGACTCTCCTGACTCCTGAAAGACAGAAGCACAATAAGCCATCTGTTATTACAAACAAGAGAACTCATATGAAATGTATCCACGTTAGGCTAAGGCTTCACTTCAAGATTAGATTAAAGTACAGATCGAAACAAACAACTGGTTTATTGAAACATGTCAGGAATTATAGAAATGCTACAACTATAAAATAACCCAAGTTTAACTTGACTCAGCAGATGGTTGTTACACAGAACCGTTAGTGAGTGTTTTCACACCGTAATTGCTCTCAAGTGCAGATCAAAACAACCCCACCAGGACCCTCAAGAGGAAGTGGTCTTGGTCTGGTTCCAAATGATCATGATTCATTTCCCTTTTTTTTTTTTTACATGTATAACACAATACAGGCATGTTCAATTTACTTGTATCAGTCGCATGTATCCAAAATAAAGGTCTAAGGGGTAAACCTTCTTACTTACTATATTTGTCTCGGCACAATTTGGGAGAAATGTTGAGTTTATTTTGTTTTTAGTGACTTTTAAAAAAGATTTTCTGTGTGTTTGGTTCCTGTGAATGTTGCCAGGTTACCTTTGGTATCCTCTGTTCTCGTATCCACTGAGGCCTCCCGTCAGGTAGAGCGGGCTGTCTGGAGCAAGACGGGGGTTCATCCTCTGGGACAGGTGGAAGATCTTAGGTGGAGGGAAGGCTTCCCATTCGCCCTCCTCTCTCTCCAGCCAGCACTCGCTGCGACGGGCGGAGCGCTTGTCTCTGCGTCTGACGAGGTCACAGGAGAGATTTATCAGTTTTTGAGAGTTTGATACCAACATAACTCCGCACCGCCATCCCCATTCCTACCTGATCCGTCCATCTTTCTTGGAACGGTCCCGGCTGGATCGCTCCTGCAGACAGCAGATGAGAAAGGACAGGGACATGGCGAGGATGACAATGCCACTAATGACTGAGGCCAGCACAGCCACTCTCAGTCCACGGTCCTCCGGCCTGGGGATAGCTGTTGGGAGAGCAGAAATGACTCTTCAGGTTCTCTCTTCTTTCCTCTTTGCTTTGATTGCTTGCATGTTGAGAGGAACAGTTAGCACAAAAAATAACTGTGTACTGTCAATGAGTCTTTTTTTTCTTTCTTTTATAAAAGTAGAAGTTTGAATGGTGAAAACTAAAAAAAGTAAATGCAGGAGAGAAATTTTTGGGCTAATGTATTTAAGTTTTAGGTTTTCCATACTTAAATCTACACACCTTCACAGACAGGCAGGTAGTTGCTCCACTGCGCTTTACCATTCCTGACATGGCAGTAGATTTTGTCGCTGCCAACCAGCTGGTATCCATCTCTGCACCAAAAAGCCAAAGCACTCCCGATCGACACACCTGTTCCACCTTCCACGTAGAAGGAACCCCGACGTGGTGGCAGGACAGGCATACAGGACAGACCTGATGGGATGTGGGACAAAAGTGCTTAGATCAACCAAACACTTGGTCATTGTGCTAAAGAAAAAGGGGATTAAGTTAGACAGGGCGTCCTCCAAAAGTCCTCAAGGGGGCACTGAGGTTTAGTGAGTTGAGGAAGGTACACCTTCCTTTAAGCCTACTTTATTCTGATTGAAAGCCCCTCGCAAACAAAAGGCTGGATGAGTAGGGCTGCTGCACTCACAGCCAGAGGTGTGCCAGAGATAACTATGTTAGGGATATCTACTCTCAGGGACACCGCAGAGCACGCATCAAGACACCAAGAGCCTAGAATAGAAAAATGATGCTTAGAGCTCATTACAAAGACCTCATTTTAACCTTTATCCATGTGGAATATCAACTTCAGGTCCTATAACAGTATATGTATGCGACCGAGCAAGGAAAAGCATAGTAGAGCCCTCTAAAGGTTTTTTCACTGAGGTCATGAGTTAGTGTGTGTGAGCTCCTAAAACCAACATTATGCCTTTTCATGGATTAGTGGCATTTGATTTTTGTGGAGTTAATGTCTTTTCCAATAGCTGGACCATCTTTAGCAGAGTTAATGTCCCCCCCCCCCC